GTTCGCGAGCACCTTTGAAGGTCATACACGCGCACACGGTGACGCATGAAGGGAGCGCACAAAGACAAAGCCCCCCTCCCCTCCCCGGATAGCCTCCAAAACAACTATTGGGGCAAGTGCTGTGAGCGAATAGCACCGATATGAAGGGCGACGTGGCACACGTGGGGCCGTGTGGGTGGCCAGCACCACACCCGACCGCTTTTGTCTCCCCAGTGACGAGGTTTACACGTCACACCAGGTACCCATTTGAGGCTGAGTCGACCTAGGAGAGGCCCAGGGACCACCTCAGATACCCGACACTGTTATTGCACGTGAACGAGAATCGAACCCACTTTTTTCGGGTTTGTAGCGAAGTGCCCTAACCACTGCGCCACCGCTCTCCACGTAACAAAGACAAAGACCCCCCACATAGCCTTAACAGGCTGTTGGGACAAGTGCTGTTAGCGAGGAGCACCCATGAAGGCCGGCACGCCACACGAGGGGGTGTGGGTGTCCACCAGCACACACGCCCGGCCGCCTTTGTCTCCCCGGTGGCGATGTTTACACGCCGCACCAGGCGCTCATTTGAGGCTGAGTCGACCGAGGGGAGACCCAGGACCGGTTCAGAAAATCTCGGAGAGACGCAGAGGCGCGCACGCATTGCGAGTGCCGCTGCAAGGCACGGGACAGTGGACACGGCCACGCTCGCTCGGGGTGCAGAGGGGACGCGCTCCGCCAGCGGCCCACGGGGTGTCGAACTCGCTCCCTCCCTCTCTCTCGTCTCTCTCCCTCCTCCTCGTCTCTCTCCCTCTCGTCTCTCTCTTTTTTTCTTACGATCAGTGGAAACAAGAAGATGTTCGGTGTAGTCGGCACTTTGCTTCGTTCATCATTTCGTAATTTTTTTTATTAACATTTTTTAACTCTGCTTTATGTAAAGCCCCACCTCTCGCTCACTCTCTCGCTCGCTCGCTCTCTCGTCTTTCTCTCTCGTCTCTCTCCCTCCTCCTCGTCTCTCTCCCTCTCGTCTCTCACTTTGCTTCGTTCATCATTTCGTAATTTTTTTTTAAACTTATCTTTATGTAAAACCCTCACCTCTCGCTCACTCTCTCGTCTCTCTCTCATTCTGCACGCAGCCCTTCTCGCAGTCCGACGGCCTCCGACGGGTAGCTCATATCAGCACGCAGAGCTCCCCGTCATCTGCCACCGAGCACACGGCCTCCTCCATCGCCCACTGCTCCTTGAAGGCCGGCACTGCGTGGGTCAGCCGCGCATGGCGGAACTCCAGCCACACCCTGGCTCCGACCAGAGCGCGGAAGATGCCCAGGCTGCTGGCCGGACGTTTCCCCTCCAGGGCCACCTTCCTCGCCCTGTGTGTGGCGAGCTTGGCGTAGCAGACGAGCACGTTGACCAGCCCCTGGAGATGTTGGGGTCCGTCGCCCTTTTGGTATCCAAAGATGAGGACCGTCGGGGAGAAGTGGAGGCTGAACCTTAGGAGGATGTTTCTCAGGACCTTGAACAACGAGTCCATGCTCTTGCACTCCACGTATTGGTGCGCCACCGTCTCCACTTTACCGTAGAACCGGCACTCCGGGGACGTGTCGGTGAAGCGCGCCAGGGAGGCGTCCTCTCTTTTTTTTTACGATCAGAGGAAACAAGAAGATGCTCCGTGTAGTCGCCACTTTGCTTCGTTCATCATTTCGGTTTTTTATGCATTGCTTTATGTAACCCCCCCCCCCCCTTTTTTAATGAAAGATTTGACAAAAGATTTCACGCTCTGCTCTCCTTACCCCTTCCCTCTCTCTCTCTCTCTACCCCCCAATCTCTACCCCCCCTCCTCTCTCGTCTCAATCCCTCCTCCTCGTCTCGCTCCCTCTCTTCATTCTCATCCGCTCCCTCTATTCTTCTCTCTCATCTCAAGTCCCCCCTCTCTTGCTCCACGTCTCCTCCCCTCCCCCCGCCCCTCGCCTGATCTTGGTGCGATTGCGGGGATGAGATTCGGCGCGGCGCGTGAGATGGATTCACGGGGGCCGACGGGGCACGGGTGGAGAAGAGGATGGATGATGCCGCCGGGGGAGATAGGGTGTGCTTGGGGGGGTTGGCGTGGGGGTGTGTGTGTGTCAGTGTGTGTGTGTCAGTGTGTGTGTGCGTGCCTGTGTGCGGTGTGGGGAGCGGTAGTGTAGCGGTTAGCGCTACGCTGCGCTATGAACCCGGCGACCCGGGTTCGATTCCCGCTCACGGTCAACACCAGTGACGATTATTTGAACCGGTCATGGGCCTCCCCTAGGTCGACTCAGCCTCAAATGAGTACCTGGTGCGATGTGTAAACATCGTTACTAGGGAGACAAAGGCGGTCGAGCGTGGTGTTGGCCAACCAACCCTTCGTGTACCGTTCCGGCCTTCATAGGTACTCGCTAACAGCACTTGCCCCTGCAGTCTGTTAAGGCTACACGGGGAATCTTTGTCTTTGCCAGTGTGCTTTAGGGTGGAGCGATGGCGCAGCGGTTAGCGCACTGCGCTACAAACATGGCTGTGAGCCGAGTTCAATTCCAACTCACGACCAATAACAGTGGCGAATAGTTGAAGCACACACGCCTGGCACCCCCCCCCTCCTCCCAATCCACCAACTCGCGCCCGTGTCTGCGGCTCGCATGTTAAGTCTCTGACGCGCGCATAAGTCCCCATTAGCTTTCTCGTGCGAGCTCCTCTCCCTTATCTCTCTCCTGCCCCCACCACCACCACCCCTCGCCCCCACTTCCACCACCCTCCCTCCCCCCCTATTGCCTGCCGCTCCGCACAAAGTGCCTGCAACTGCCGGCACGGAGACCACGCTTCGTTGCTCACGTGACAAGTCAATGCAGTGAAAGATGTACTCGGCCGAGTGCGGGGCTGGAGCTACGGCTGCTGCTGCTGCTGTTCGTGGGGGAGGAGGATGGTGGGGGGGGGGTCTACCTATCTCTCTCCAGCTCGCTTCTCCCCCCCTCTCTCTCTTTGCCAACGGAGTTTGACGGTCGTGCGTAGAACCCCGAGCGGCGAACGAGACGAGGGAAACAGACAGCATTCGCATTTCACATTCACGGCGGCTTTCTTCGCAGGCACCTCGTTGGTCGAGACGGACCCGGTGATGCTGCTGCTGGTGGTAGTGATCATCTGCTCGCGGCACATAGCACTTGCCCCAATAGTCTGACGAGGCTATACGGGGGATCGTTGTCTTTGGTGGCAGTATTGATCATGATCGATGGTAAGTTGGTGGTCGTTGTGCTGGTGCCACTGTTGGTGGCGGTCGAATTCTTCGTAAGGCGCTGGTTGTTTTTGTGGTGGTGCTGATGTGGTAGTGGTGGTGGTTGTGAGTAAGGTGGTGTTGGTGGTGCTGTTGTGGTAGTGGTGGTGGTTGTGAGTAAGGTGGTGTTGGTGGTTCTGCTGTTGTGGTGGCGAATATCTGCACCGATCCTGGGCCTCTGCTCGATTGACTGAGCCTTAAATAAGCACCTTGTGCGGTGTGTAACCATCAGCACTGGAGAGACAAAGGTGGCCGGGTGCGGTGGTGCTGGCCACCCACACCCCTCGTGCGCCGTGTCGGCCTTCACAGGTGCCCGCTAACAGCACTTGCCCCAACAGTCTGTTGAGGCTATACGGGGGGGATCGTTGTCAATGGACGTAACACATGGCTCATGATTGTGGATTCGATAAATGATAAATAATCATAATTAAATACGCAGACAATTTCCCCGCTTTCGCACGTGTATATGTATAAAATAAAAGTATTTTTTTCCCACGTCCCATCCAGTCACACGTGGGCCATCTGGGAGAGCATCATTCCCGCAGCGATGGTTTCGTACAAGAAGACTCTGGACGGGTTTCATCATTCAGTGTTTCATCCACAGAGTCGGGCTTTGCTTGAAGCATTGCTGGCGAGCAGCCCGAATGTTTATCGGCAAGGAAACCCCCCCCCCCGCCTCTGATAGATGTGGGTCTTAGTAGCGACGCATAATTACTTGTTTTGCAGAGCACATAAGAGCCTCTTAGCGTTAGGCAGCAGAATAATTCGGCAGACAGTCGGCCTCCTCGTCTATAAACAGCTGGCAAAGCGAGGCCGACGCTGCTGATGAGACGTTGAGAGTCGACACTGGTCCAGACGTTGCCTTGTGTTGAACCACGTGATGATCGTGATGATGATGCGTGAAATTGTCCACTCGTACCAAGGTTCGTGTGGCTGATGCGATGTGTCTAACTTGATTCCAATTGTTTTAATGGGGAGCGATAGATTAATGAAGGAGGAGGCGTCTGCTTCTTGATTTTATTACTTATATAGTGATTATTTATTTTGATAACAACGGTGCTGTTGGATGATGATGATGATGACGATTGACGGATAGAATAAATGCAACATGAATAATGATGCTGCTGTTGGATGGATGTGTTAAGTCAGTTGATGATGATCATCATCATGAACCACAATACCTATCTGATCTCGTCAAGAAGCATAAACCATCAACTCCGGTGATATTCGCAGCGACTTTTGGTTGCTCAGCCATCGAACGAAGACGGTCACCACATCCGCGCGCTTTCCGATGCGCTTCTGCGGCCGTCTGGAACGCTCTTCCTTCCGATATTAGGAAGCCACTGGAGCTATGCGCTTTTAAATCATCATCTACGTGCAAAAATAATTTCCTTAGAACTGATTTTGTTTGTGTTAGTTTGTTGTCTTTCCCCCGCACCTCTGATTAGCGCGGTTGACTACGTTCAACACGCATACGTACATCATCATCACCATCATCACCATCATCAACATCATCATCAACATCATCACCATCATCAACATCATCACCACTTCAAAACTCCCAACGCGCGTGTTCAATTTCTCGTGTTTTTTTATTTTATTTTGGCACCATCGCAATCGTCGTCAACATCATTTCCATCATCATCATCATCCGTCGTCCTCGTCAAGGTGTTAACTGCGGGGCGACTGCGCTGCGACTCGCGCACGTGCTCATCCCTACGATGACTCCGCCGAAGCACGGTGATGGTGACGATGCTGGCGGCGTCTGGCGGATTCAAGAACACAGCTTCTCCTCTCCCTGCTGCTGCTGCTATTGCTGTTGCCGCCGGTGTCGCAACAGGGCATCGCAACGTGCTCCGTTCACTGCTGCACTCTGCGGATCGACTGCACCTGGCTGGTTTGAGCGTGCGACCCGAACTCGCGGTAGTGACGATACTCCCCCGTGTGGCGGTCGCACTCCATGATGTACTGGTACCCGCGGTAGCCTGGGTACTGGTAGCAAACCCATCTGGTGGGTGGGTGGGGGTGGGTGGGAGGGGCGTGGTTGTTGCGGTGGGAAGGGAGGGTGGAGGAAGAGAGGAGAGGGGGTTACATTCATGTCACGATCATCATTATTTCGTGTTCAGCGGTTTAATGTGTCACGCGTTATCTGTTGCAGCAAGCTGCTAGACCGGCCTTGGAGTGAGGGCTTATCTGCGTAAGGTGCTAACGCGAGAGGACAAGGCACGCCTGTTCATAATAATCCTACATCATTATTGTTGTAGCCTGTGGTCCTATTATAATTCGACGAACAGGTGTAGAACACAAAATAGCACGCGTCTTTCCGGCAAAAAAAATGTTGAAGACTTTGGGAGATGATCAGGGACGAGATGACAAGCTTGATCACGGTCGCATCTCGAGCCGGGGATGTCATTTCAGAATATTCGTGAGGTTTCGATTTAAGATGTTAAAAACCAAACTGAAACCTTTTGCAAGGAATCATGTCTGCATTAACCACAACACTTGTGGTCAGAATGCAAACAAAAAACGCCCTCTGATAATATAGGCATTGGCTTTGAAACTGATTGGTCCACACCAGAGACAGCTTTTTCTTGCCAAAATACGTCTTTTGGCGTCCTCTGGTCTAACACCGTTTTGAGACGAGGCTCAAAAGAAAGCTGTCTTTGGTGTGGACAAATCAGTTTAAAAGACAATGCATATATTATCAGAGGACGTTTTTTTGTTTGCATTCTGACCACAAGTATTGTGGTTAAGGCAGACATGATTCCTTGTAAAAGGTTTCAGTTTGGCGTTTTAACATCTTTACACAGCTATTTTGTTGCCAGATAAAAAGGGGAAAACCTATTCTCATATTTTGGTACTGGCAAAGGAGGTCCAATGATGTAGGTTTCGATTTGTTAAGTTATTTCTTGCGCGCGGGGTAAATGAGAAGGAATGTGGATGATGGAGAGAGAGAGGGAGGGAGCGGGTGAGCGGGCGAGCGAGCAAGGACTTCCCCGGGTAAGGGAATCAGCTGAGAGGCGCCTTGAATGCACCAGATGTGGACCCGCAAAGGAGGTGGTAGATGGGAGGGGGCAGACGAGCAGATAGGGGGGTGGGAGATGGGGGGGGGGGGGGAGATGGGAGGGGAGATGGGAGGGGAGAGGAAGAGGCAATGAGTGAGGGATTGTAGTTTGTGGCATGGTGTAGAGAGAGAGATACACGCACACACGTTGAACACAGGCAGAGAGAGAGAGAGACGCAGAGAGAGGATCTAGAGACACACACTGATTGAGAGAGACAGAGAAAGATATATAAAGAGACAGATATATGTGTGCAGAGGGAAAGAGAACAGACAGACGGAGGGAATGGGGTTCGAGGCAGAATGAGAGAGGGAGAAAGACTGAGAGCTAGAGAAATACAGAGAGACATAGACATAGATACAGAGACACAGACACAGAGACACAGACACACAGACTATACGGACAGACACAGAGAGTTATGGACACACAGACATACACAGACGCATACAGACAGACATACCAGAGTCGTAGACACAGAGACACGCACACAGACGCATACAGACAGACACACCAGTTGTAGTCACAGAGACACGCACACAGACGCATACAGACAGAGACACAGACACACACCGAGAGAATAATAGCCTCATAACTTATAGTGACCACTCCGACTCCCCCCCCCCACCTCGCCCCCCACTGCCCCCCCCCCCTCCTCCTCTCTCCCCCCCCTCCTCCTCTCTCACCCCCCCCCCCGAACTCGTGTTCTTGTTTAATGATCCCTGAAGCTATCGAGGGCCCAGAGTCGGTTTCAGTCAAAAAAAGAAAGAAAACCCTCATCGTGATGGTGGTGGGGGGGGGGGGTGTGAATTAATCACTTGGGTGGTGGTGGTGGGGGGGTTAACAGAGGGGGAGGGGTGGGTGGTGGGGGGGGTGTCACGGTAGCTCCTGGGTTAATGTGGCGATGGAGAGAGAGGAGAGATGATGGGGGCGCGGTGGTGGTGGTGGTGATGGCAGGGATGATGTTCGCGCAGCCTTTATCGGTGATGGCGCTGATGGACAATGATGATGACGTGCAGCGTGCAGTGGCTTAATTTGTATTTGAGCGATGGCTGTAAGTGAACAACAACCCCCCCCCCCCCCCTCCCCATGAATTACTATTTCATTATCAGACTATAATTGGAACAAATACAAGTTTTGCTGGCTGGCTGGCGCCCGTGACGTCACTGTGCGCGTCCGTGCGATGACGTCGCCCGCATCCGACAGCCTCGAGCCGCGTCCGTGCGTCGCGCTGACGTCACGCCTGGGGTTGGTGGGTCGCACGCAGATGCCGTGAAAGTTCACTCCCCGTGGGCATCGAGGAGGCGTCATTCCCTCGCTAGCCAGCAGAAGGCGGGTACGTACGGCGAAGTGCGGATGAACCCATCGATCTGTTCCTTCTGTATGGGATAGAGCGTTGCCCCCTCGCACGCGTGGTGGGCTTTGTCCGGGTGCTACGGTTTCTTCCCATTGTGTGGTTGAAAACATCTTGATTTGCAGAGGACCGCAGAGCTCGGACAGCTGTCGCGAGCGCCGGCCCACCGGCATGGCTGTCGCCGCTGCCTTCCCCACTCGCCTCTGAATCGTTCTCTCTCTCTCCTTCTCCCTTCGTGAGCGAGCGAATGCACCACAGCGCTGCGCTGTGCTGTGCGGAGGAGGCGGCGCTTTACAAGTTGGAGCAAAACAACACCCGGAGACACGACGCCCCAGGTCGAGACAGATGCCGGAGCCTCGACTCAAGGCGCTTGGGACGGCCGCGGCGGATCGACGGGCGACCCCAGCCGCTGGTCTCAAAAGTCCATCCAGTAGTGGATTGGCGAAGACGGTGTGGGCGTGTAGCAGGTGGGTGGGGGGGGAGGTGAACTTACGCTCCACTCTGAACTTTCATGGAGCCGACCTCGCTGTTGCACCAGCCCATTGACTGCAGAGCCGGGAAGTCATCGCATAGGTCGCACGTCCGGCCCAGGAAGTTCTCTCGCTCGAAGATTGACATCTTGGACTCCTGGTGGTTCTGTGTGAGCGGCGGGGGGAGGAGGAGGAAGAGGAGGAGGAGCGAGTGAGACACACGTGGAGGAGAATGTGACACGGGTAGGAGGAGTGAGATAGGACACAACGAGGAGGGAGATGCAGGGAGGGGCGAGGAGCAGGGTGAAGACGCGTGGAGGAGAATGGAGACACAGGGAGCAGGAGGAGGAGGAGAAGGGAGGAGGGAGAGACGCGTGGAGATGGAGGAAGAGACGCGTGGAGGAGAATGGAGACACAGGGAGCAGGAGGAAGAGAACGGAGGAGGAGGGAGAGGCGCGTGGAGGACTCACGGCGCACTGGATGGGTCGGAAGGACATGAGCCTCTCGGTGTGGTAGGCGAGGTTTCCGCTCCACGCGTCCCAGCGGGGGTAGTCGCCCTTCTCGAGGATGAACTGCTGGCCCTGGTAGCCGCTGTGCTCGTACCCCACCCACCTGCGAGTCGCGCCACCACCGGCGTCACATTGGGTCAACCTCGTCGTCACATTGGGTCAATCTCGTCGTCACCTTTGTCTGCGTACGCCGTCGTCGTCATCGTCATTCATCGCTGTCGTCATAGTCGAGTTCATCGTCATAGTTGCCTTCGACGCTATAGTCATCATCATCATTTTTGTCGACATCGTGATCTGCTAAATTATCGTCCTCGTCGACAGGATCGTCATTGATATTGTCATGATGATGACGATGTTGATGACAAGGATGATGATTATGACAATGCTGATGATGATGTTGATGATAACAATGACGAAGATGGTGACCATGATGATGGCGGCGATGACGACGACGATGATGACGATGGTGATGATGATGGCGATGGCGACAATGATGACGACGACGATGTTGGCGATGATGATGGCGATGGCGACAATGATGACGACGACGATGATGGCGATGATGATGGCGATGACGACGATGATGATGTCCTCACGCGCCGCTCTCCACGCGCATGGAGCGCACGCTCTCGATGCCGCTCTCGAAGACGTTGTGGCAGCCCGAGGTGAACTCCTGCTTCTTGCCCTGCAGGCCCTCCTGGTCCCACACCGTGATCTGCGACACGCGGACAGGCCCACCGCTCACTCACCGCTCGCTCACAGCACACTCGCCGCTCACTCAACGCTCGCTCACCGCTCACTCACCGCTCACTCACCACTCACTCACCGCTCACTCACAGAACACTCGCCGCTCACTCACGCTCACTCACCGCTCGCTCACAGCACACTCGCCGCTCACTCAACGCTCGCTCACCGCTCACTCACCGCTCACTCACCACTCACTCACCGCTCACTCACAGAACACTCGCCGCTCACTCACGCTCACTCACCGCTCACTCACAGCACACTCGCCGCTCACTCACCGCTCACTCACCACTCACTCACCGCTCACTCACCACTCACTCACCGCTCACTCACAGAACACTCGCCGCTCACTCAACGCTCACGCAACGCTCACTCACCGCTCACTCACCACTCACTCACAGCACACTCACAGCACACTCGCCGCTCACTCAACGCTCACTCACCGCTCACTCACCGCTCACTCACAGAACACTCACAGCACACTCGCCGCTCACTCAACGCTCGCTCACCGCTCACTCACCGCTCACTCACCACTCACTCACTGCTCACTCACAGAACACTCGCCGCTCACTCAACGCTCACTCAACGCTCACTCACCGCTCACTCACCACTCACTCACAGCACACTCACAGCACACTCGCCGCTCACTCAACGCTCACTCACCGCTCACTCACCGCTCACTCACAGAACACTCACAGCACACTCGCCGCTCACTCAACGCTCGCTCACCGCTCACTCACCGCTCACTCACAGCTCACTCACAGCTCACTCAGAGAACACTCACACCACACTCGAACCCACGACCTCCTGTATACCAGGCGAGGTAGTTAACATCTCATAGCCACCGTGATGATGATGAGAGAGAGAGACACGCAAACTCCAAATATACTGCAGGCGTCAGGGTCGGAATCAAACCCACGACCTGTACACCAGGGGAGGTAGTTAACATCTCATAGCCACCGTGATGTTGATGAAGAGAGAGAGAGACACGGAAACGCCAAAATACAGCAGGCGTCAGGGTCGGGATAAAACCCACGACCTCCTGTATACCAGGCGAGGTAATTGACATCTCACCACCGTGGCGCCCGATATATGCCTCCATGTAAGTCCATCAACTTATGGTTATCTACAGTTCTCTCCGTGGCTCTCTCTCTGTGGGACTTACAGATATCCACGGATAGCTGTAAGTCTATGGGTCTCTATGAGCGTCTGTGCGTCTCTGTGTAAGTCTATGGGTCTCTATGCGAGTCTGTGCGTCTCTGTGTAAGTCTTAAGCGTTTACTCGCAGGTCTCTCTCGAAGATTTGGCTTGGTCTCAACGGACTCTTATCTGGCCATAGAGGTCGTGTCTGTCTGTCTATCTGTCTGTCTCTCTGTCTCTCTATCTGTATGTCTATCTATCTGTCTCTCTATTTGTCTGTCTCTCTATCTGTCTGTCTATCTGTCTATCTGTCTGTCTGCCTCTCTATCTGTCTGTCTATCTGTTTGTCTGTCTTTCTATCCGTCTGTCTCTCTGTCTGTCTCTCTGTCTGTCTGTCTGTCTGCTTACATGACTCTCTGTGTCTCAGTCTGTCTAGCTCTCTGGGTTGTTTTGTTCATCTGTCTCTCTGTCTGTCTATCAATCAGTCCCTCTGCCTGTCTCCCTGTTACATTGTCTGACTCTGTCTCTCGGTCTCCGTTTGCTTGTCTAGCTGTGTGTTTGACGCTCTCTCTGTGTGTCTCTCCTACCTTCCAGAAGCCGGAGAAACCAGCAGTGTCCATCTTTTCCATGTCTTCAGTCAACCGGTGAGCGCACACCTGTGCCAGGCGGGGAAGGTAACTTCCGATTAGAAATCCGCGGAAGCGCTCCGCTGCGCTACGAATCCGGAGACCCGAGTTCGATTCCCGCTCACGGCCACCAACACCAGTGGCTATTATCTGAACCGGTTCTGGGCCTCCCCTAGGTCGACTCGACCTCAAATGAGTACCTGGTGCGGCGTGTAAACATCGCCACTAGGGAGACAAAGGCGGCTGGGCGTGGTGCTGGCCACCCACCCCCTCGTGCGCCGTGTCGGCCTTCATAGCTGCTGCTAACAGCACTTGCCCCAACAGTCTGTTAAGGCTGTACGGGGGGGGGGGGGGATCTTTGTCTTTGGAAACTTCCGATTAGAAATCCGCGGAAGGTGCGCCGCCGGACACGCGGCCACCGTGTGTTCCATTACTTAATCATTGCTATTGTTATCACTATCACCGTCATCATCGGTCGTGGAGCGGTGGGATTGTGGTTAGCGACGTTGAGTCCCAATTCCCGAAGCAGCGGCTCACATCGGTGGCGAGTGACACCTAAACCGCCTTCTGGGCTCGCCACATTTCACCAACCCGCACTGACCAGAGTGGTGAAGTATGGTCAAACAAACTCGCACGAACTACGCGGCGTGGTGGGGCGGCGGGGGGGAGGGGGCGCAGAGAGACCTTCATCCAGCAGTGGATGTAGCCGTGGTCTGTACATTACGATTGCATCGGTAATATTCGCCCCCCGAATTTTAACCACAAAAACCTCGACTGAGCGTTCGACCGACTCGTGCCCCGGGTACGATTGGATACCCGGAGTCAGAGCCACGAGGTGGGGGTGGGGGGAGAGCAACACTCAACGTTCGGCACAGATGGGTGCACTAACCCACTTGCTGTACTGCCACCCCCTTTCCACCACCACCTTAAATCCCAGCGGGGGGTTAAGTAATCCCTCTCCACCGCTCGCCCCCATTCTCAAATAAATACATCTACCGGGAGAAAAACCCCAGGGAACCCGAGGAGGTAGCATGTTTAAAATCCGATTTGTCCGGATCGGCGATCCAAACGGCGTTGCTGAACCGCAGCCTTCAGCCCCTCTGCTTCCTTCCCACGTTTAGGGCGACCGCGCTACGAAGCGACGGCGTCCCGATCTCGCCGTGATCTCTGCACGATCCATCAACCCCCATCTCCCAGAGAACCCCCCTCCCCCCTCCCACCACCCCCACTAACCAATTGAAAGGACCCCCCACATCCTTCCCCACACTCCACCAGTCACGCAGGGGCGTCTGTTCTATTCCATGCAGCACGTGGTGCTGAGAAAGTCCATTAGTCATGAGGCCAATTAGCGTTGCCTTGGCAACTGGTGGAGGGAATTAAACTTCTCTCTCTCTCTCTCTGTGTGTCCACACGCAACCCACCGCTCGTTGCGAACGGCGGGCTGATGAATGACTGCGAACCCCACGGTACTCACCACACGAAATCACTAAGTGTCGTAGTCCAGCCACAGCGGGCCCTGTCATTTATACGTGGACTGGGCTGGGGGTGGGAGGGACTGCGGGCTCGATTTGGAGGAGGTGTCGGCAGGGGGGGGGAGGGTGGGGGCGGGAGGGGGTGCTGAGAGGGAATTGTGTTGAGTGGTGGCGGTGGTGGTGGTGGTTGACTCGGGCGGCTGATGTCCAATAGGGGCAATGTTGTGGTGATGTGTTGGTGGGAGGGACGGCCGTGTAGGTGGATCAGAAGGTTGGAGGATGGGGTGAGTGGGAGGATGGATGGGTTGGTGAGAAGATGGGTGGGTTAGTGATGTGGGTGAGTGGATGGGTGGGTGAGTGAGTGGGTGAGTGGATGGGTGGGTGAGTGAGTGAGTGGGTGAGTGGATTGGTGGGTGGGTGAGTGGATGAGTGGGTGAGTAAAGGGGTGGGTGAGTGAATGGGTGTCTTGAATGGGTGGGTGAGTGGATGAGTGGGTGAATGAGTGGGTGGGTGAGTGGATGGGTGGGTGAGTGGATGGGTGGATGAGTGAGTGGGTGAGTGGATGGGTGGGTGAGTGAGTGGGTGAGTGGATGGGTGGGTGAGTGAATGGGTGAGTGGATGGGTGGGTGAGTAAATTGGTGGGTTAGTGAATGGGTGGATGAGTGAGTGGGTGAATGGATGGATGGGTGAGTGGGTGAGTGAGTGAGTGAGTGGATGGGTGGGGGAGTGAGTGGGTGAGTGGATGGGTGAGTAAATGGATGAGTGTGAGGGTGAATGGATGGATGGGTGGATGAGTGGATGGGTGGATGTTGGGCCGGATGCTCTCATGCGCAGTTATAATGTTTGCCCAAGCACATACCTGGGCGCTGGACTGGGGGCTAAAGGGTATTTGGGGGGATGAGCGAGTGAATGGCTGCATGAGCACGCTCTGCGAGCGGATGAACAAAGCAAATCGCTTGCTCATCAGGTCGTGATATCCCCTTGGTGCACGCGGACCCCCAGGGTTAGGGGGTGTTTTTTTTGTTTTTAGGGGGGGGGGGCGGGGGCAGTGTACTGTGAAACGCGACCACAGTTTCCACGGGTAGCGACATCACCAATCATTATTCTTACATAAACTGTGGCCAGCATCAACGCAAATCTATGGTATATACCGTATAGAACCATCGAGGGGTGGTCATTCATGTGTCGTCGTGTCAACTGCCAAAGGCACCATCAACCACCATCGATTATTTTACTATCGCAATAATCATTGGAGGGTGGCGTGGTGGCACAGTGGTTAGCGCAATCCGCCGTGAAGCCAGCCGCTGGAGTTCGATTCCCGCTCACGGCTCACATCAGTGGCAAATAATGCTAAGAATAACTAAACCGTATGGCCATACAAACCCCCATAATTAAACACAGTGCGATGAGGTCATGGTCAAGCAGTGGTTTGCGAATCAGTATCAGACGTCGTTATCATTCACGCGCCTCATATCCATCATCCAGGCGCCATGGCCAAGCATCTTAGACTAGCGGCCTTACCACCAACTCTCGTCAGCTAAGCAGGGTTGAGCCTGGACAGCGCGGTGATGGTCAGCACCGCTGATGAGCACGGTGGGCTACGTACGGTGCGAAAAAAGTTCAACACACGTACAGCATCGTAATATTCACCCGCCTACATTCTCCACTGCCTTCACGGATCCGCAGTGACCAGCGTGGTGAAGTATGGCCAAATGGGCCACACGAGTTCCTTATCCAGCAGTGGATTATGCAACTACCCGCCCCGGGCTCAAGACGTTAATCGGCGAAGGCATTGATTCTTCAATCGAGCGTGTCCTCATTATCATGATCATTATAATAATAAACGGTAAGCGATGCTGATTATTCTTAAATGTATCAATTATCATCATGAATTACGCAAATTGGGTTGATTAGAACCGCAACCATAACCCGCCCACGTGCTACTGCGAAAAACGTGGCAGGACCTTCCTGAACATGAGTCATGAGACTCGGTGACACTTTCCTGGGTAATGCAGTCCACTAAACAATCGTCATCATCATCATCACCCTCATCACCTTCTCGAAGGCGTCCGGCCCGGCGTGGTTCCGGCCACACCACCCCCACGTGTGTCGTGCCGGCCTTGAAAAGGTGCTCGCCGCTCGCTAACACCACTTGCTCCAGCCGTCTCTTAAGGCTATACGGGGGATCTTTGTCTCAGAACGAGCATCTTCGTGACCTGGTCCGGATTGGGGTTTAGGGGGGTGGCGGGGGGGGCTGTTATAGTTTTTTCGGGTGGGGGGCTTTGTGTGCTTACCCCTGAATATTTCACCACGGCCACTACCACCATCACCACCACCACTCTTGCCCTATGTCAGACACTCCACGATTTTATTCGCCGATGGTTACATCGGTTCGTCAGTGAGTCTGCGTGTGCGGCCTGAAAAGTAAAAACAAAATATGATAATTATACAGGGTGCTTCAAACAATTAGTTAACACTTCTGAGAATTTGCAACAACACCACAGGAAATGTCCAGCCTCCGGGCTCTGGAGACCACCTGGAGAAGATTCCAGGCACGCGTTGACAATGATGGCGAACAAGTTTGTGAAGCTATTAACATCACATGTGTTATCACGTTACAGTGTAGTGTTATCCGTTCTTTGTCAAATTAAATCGATCGTCCCGATATAAGTGTTCACGTGTTTTTTTAAGCGCCCTGTATATTGTGCACATTGATGTATATAGGTGCGATGAATAAGGGGCATTGCCCGAAACGTCGCAGATTTTTTTTATTATAAGGCCACAGCATTACTGGCTACGTATTGAGGGATTGCGCTTGATCCACTACCAAGTCCAATGTTTTATTGGGGAGCGGAGGGCAGCAGAGAGTGGTGGAATGGGGGGGGGGGGCTCAATGTCTCAGGCCTTGGGCTGCACCCCCCCCCCACCACCACCGGCCCCCCCTAAAGCCCCCCGCGTTATAACGACCCCACACTCCTATAGGCCAGGGCCACGGACACCACGAGATTGTGTGATGACCATCACCGTAGGCGATTCAACGCGTTGGCGACATCACAAAGACAAAGATCTCCCCGTGTAGCCTTAACAGACTATAGGGGCAAGTGCTGTTAGCGAGCACCTATGAAGGCCGGAACGGTACACGAGGGGGTGGGTGACCAGCACCACGCCCGACCGCCTTTGTCTCCCCCAGTGACGTTGTTTACACACCGCACCAGGTACTCATTTGAGGCTGTGTCGACCTTAACACACACAGACACACACACACCACACGATGTCATTTCGCAGAGGGCTTTCACGTTGCCTCCATAACGACAACAACAATAGCCGCTGACAATGGCGCGGGTGAAACGTCGGCTGCAATATGCGGTCAACGGATATCAATTCGTGAATCTGCCCACCAGCCCAACTCGACGACCGCCGTGTCAGCGCGCTCACGGAATGCAACGACATCGCAAACCACCACAAACAGCACTGACACAGCACGAAAAGCGCTGGTCACATTAAGTTCGTTCACTTGTTGCAGCTTTTTTGTGTTCTATATTTTTTCGCCCCTCCTCCCCCCTCCTCTCTCTCTGTCTCTCTGTCTGGTCATCATCATCTCTCTCTCTTGTATTCCCAAACTACGCGTTTCCATTCGCCGCGAGTCAAGCGAGAGAAATGATCAGCATCATCATCATCATCACGCCACGGGATTAGGCGATTCACACCGACTCAGCGCCACGCCGAGGGGAGGAGACTGGCCGCTCGTTTTTGGTTCATCACAATGTGGGGGGAGGGAAGGGGGGTGGGTGGGTGAGAGGTCGGGGAATTCGCTGATGATGGGGGTCTACGTGCGAGCATAAAACTACCGCCTCTCCTCCACCAGAAGCCACCAACGCCGACATCCTGACTTGTGACTCAAACCGCCTCTCGTCGCTTACCAATGGAGTGAGTCTGTGCGTGCAGATGTCTCCTCCTGTCCCAGCGAGGAACCCCCCCCTCCCCCACCTTTATCCCACCACGCCAAGCCGAGTCGAAGACCCATGGCGGAGTTCGACTGGAACTTTTGTTGTTGTTGTTGGTGGCGGGGGTGGGATGGGTAGAGTTTTATGGGAACTCGCGTGACGCAGTGGTTCGCGCACCGCTGCGTATCGGTCCTGGGCCTCCCTAGGTCGACTCGGCCTTAAAAATGAGTGTTTGGTGCGACGTGTAAATAATCGGCACTGGGGATGTCACAACGACAAGCCTCGTGTGCCGTCCCGGCCTTAATAGGTGCTCGCTAACAGCGCTTGCCCCAACAGTCCGTCAAGGCTGTACGGGGGTTCTTTGTCTTTAACCCTTAACCCTCTGAGTGAAATCATGTACCTCGAAAGCGTTAATTCTGGGGGGATTCAAGGCTCGAAAGTTTAGTGTCTCGGATGTTTATTGCCATCTGCATTGACTCTAAAATATTATAGAGCGGTGGTTCTTAGCCTGGCGTGCACGCACCCCCTGGGGATACTCGGAAGGAAAGCGAGTATGTAATCGGCGACGTTTCGGGCAACGACCCTTCTCCACAGGATGGCTCAGAAGGCGACTCAACCCCAGGGCACTGCTCATGAAGGGAGCCACCCAACCACCGGTGGATTCAAGGTACGCAGCTCGCGCCGTGGTCTATCCACTGCTAGATGATGCACCGCGGTGATCGTCATCTCCGGCGCATTCGCATCGTCATCATGAACGCGATACATCTAACATCAGCATCACGAACCCGACAAACCTACCATCATCATCATCATCACGAGCCCTATATACAGCTACCATCATCATGAACCCTGTACAGCCACCATCATCATCATCACGAACCCTATACAGCTACCATAATCAACACCATCCTCATGATGAGCCCTATACATCTACCATCACCGCTACCACCATCGTCATCCTCGCTGACGAGCTCTGCACTCCCGGTCACTGCCCCCCCCCCACCCCTTCTCCCCGTGGCCCCGCGATCAGCTGGTCATCTTCGAGCTGGAGAACTTCCAGGGCCGACGCCTCGAGTTCACCACCGAGTGCAAGAACGTGTGCGAGCGCGGCTTCGAGCGCGTGGGCTCCATCCGTGTGGACACCGGCCCGTGAGACACGCACACAGACACAGACACACACACAGACACACACACAGACACAGACACACGCAGACACACACAGACACACACACACACGCACACACACGCACATAGACACACACACAGACACACACACAGACACATAGACACACACAGACACACACACGCACGCGTGGGGGGAGGGAGTCTCATCACGCGGGCTCCATCGGAGTTGTCTCGGGGGTAGAGGGGTAGCGGGGGGGGGGTGATGGGTGTTGGGTTTCTCGGGGGTCTATTGCATGCCTGGGGAGAGTGGGGAGGGGGTCTTTCGGGGTCTCACCAGAGTGGCGGGGGGGATCTATGGGGGTCTCTCTGCGTCTCTCTGGGGGGGAGGGGGGAGGGAAGAGGGCTTGTCTTGGAGTTGACTTGTGTCTTGCTCTATCTCTCGGGGTGTCTCTCTCTTCGTGTCCCCCCGTGGTTCTGTGTGTGTGTCTCTCTCTCTCTTCTTGATTCATCTCGGTGTCTCCGTGCGGCGCTTGTGTTATCCGTGTCCATGGGAATCTCCACGTCTCTTGGTCGCTCCATCTCGCCGCGTGCCTCTGCGTTCCTTTGGGATCTCGCCGCCTCTAGGAATCTCCCTTCGTCTCTGCCCGGCACCTCTCGGCGTCCCTGGAACCCCTGTCAAGATTCGCTGAGCGAGATCTCCACCCCCAACCCCAGCCCCCCTTCCTCCCTACCCCATACGGACAGCGGTGTGGTCTTTGTGTGGCTTTCGTGACGTCAGATGCGACAGAGAGAAAGAAAAAAACCCACAATTTCAAGGTTTTATTGAGCGACACAACTTAATATCGCGTAAGATAATGGACGGCCAGAGCCCCGGCAGTAATAAACCCTCTGATATGAGCTCACGGCTATTTCTGCAGCGAGCTCTTTTATGTGGTGAGGCGAACGCTGCCTGGACCCAACACTAAACGCGTTTTGCTTTCGGTTCAGTGACCACCGCGTGCACTCTCTCTCTCTACCCCCCTCTTCCCCACCATTACAGCCCTGCCCGCCTTGTAGTGTTGGCGGTGATGATGGACTAACAAGGCGGTGTGCCAGTGCATTGAGTGAGCCTCGGCTGTTGCTTTTGGAGTTAACGCGCGGGCCGCAGGGAACGCAGCCTAAATGTAACACGTAGATGGATAGACATACATTCTCGTGTGCGTGAGCAAACAAATGCATAGCAGCGACCTTTTCCAGGGTATTAAATTGCCAATTTTGTGCCGCGATTGACGCAGAGTGGCGAAGTTGTGCCGTGAAAATTGGCTGCGATTGGTTTCAGGGGTGTTGCGAACAACAACAGCAGCAGCAGCAGCAAAACATGTGGCCCAAAAAATGTTTCAAGAGTGTCGAGCGGAGAGATCCACAGACAGACAGGTGGACAATAATTTACCGGCCACGAAAATACGAATTATATAGCGGCTCTCTTTAAACATATATATGTATTTTTTTTAATATATATAATGCCGGTTTAACACGTAGGCTTTCGCGACCATGATTATGAATATATAATGCCGCTCTGCAGCAAATGTAAACATCGTCCACACACTTGTTATAGGGTATCTACACACACGCACGCGCGCGTAACACTGTGTGCTGGGGACAGTTAAGAAAAAGAAGACATACTTTAAAAGTGAGTCTGAGGACCGCTTTCTGTGTCTGTAATTAAATCGACGATCGTCACCTGAGTGTCCAGCACGAAGAGCCTGGGAAGATAATGTAAAATAGTTATTCACAATTATGTTTAAGAACGCCACTGCGCCCTACCACTCTCTCTGGCCCCCTTTCTCTTCGTGTGCTGTGACGAAGGGCCGTTTCCTGAAACGTCGCCTGTCATATATTTACGTAGGTTAAGGCCACAGTAGTATTATTATTAATGACGAACGTTTTGAGTGTTGCTGTTGTTATTTGTTATAAGTATGGTGGTGCCATCACTGCCAACGCAGCCGCAGCAGCACGAAATAATGTGTTGGAACAATTTAGTAGATTAAAAATCGCAAGCAATATTAAGATGAAATCCACGGGACAGATAGATGGGTAGATTTAAGGCCGTTAATTGAACGCGTGGCGTAGATTCATCCCTGTAATCCGGGTCCTGCGAAATCTTATCCCAAACACTCGTTAATTAAATAATACACTAAACTATCAATTAACTAATTTGCTTGTTTAGGATTTTCATCATTAATTGAAGTAGCCAAACATCCCAGTCTAGCAGGAACCCTTCTGAAAACACAGTCTTTTATTTCCCCGGCAGATTACAGAATTATAATTACGTATCCTTAATGTAAATTGCTGTTACGAACTCGTAGTATTATTGTGAGTAGTATTCCTGGTATTTATCGCGCCTTAAGTTGTATTATTTTATCGCCCGCAAATCCGCCACGGCAGCGCGTCGTAAATCGTGGCGCATTATTTTTCTCCAGAAACCCGGGCCCGCTTGCCACGCGCGCGGCCTGTGAATATATCTGGCGAGCGCGACGTTGGGAGGACAATCGCCGCCGTTCCGAGCCACTAAATCTGCGTGGGGGTCGCTGTCCGCGGTGCTGAATGCGATGGATAGATGGGGGGGGCTGAGAGAGGCAGTCTGCTTGCGTCTTCTTCTTGGTTCTTTCGGTAAAGTCACGTAGAAGGGAAATAATAAAATAATACAAATAAAACATAATAAAATAATTCTCACGACGTTTCGACCACCTGAGGACGGCTGCTTGCGTTGTGGCCGAAACGTCGTGAGAATTATTTCATTATGTTTTATTTTTATTATTTTATTATTTCCCTTCTACGTCACTTTACCGAAAGAACCAAGAAGATGAATCCCTGCAGTCACGAAAGCTTTAAATCGAAATCTGCTTGCGTCTTGTCTATATGCAAGACCACTCCCGAGCCTCGTCTCGCGACACTTGTGCCCGCCTAAGGAGATCCGCGGATGTCGCGCGGCTTCCGCGGGTTTCTTTTGATCAATTCGTCCATTTATAATATGTCTTTTTGTTTTAGCCGCCGCTTGTGCTACTGTTACGGATGAGGAGCGGCGGTGTTGCGCTCAGCGTTGCGCTAACGCTACGAACCAGGCGGACCCGAGTTCTATCCTCGCTCACGGTCACCACACCCAGTGACGATTCTCTGAACCGGTCCTGGGCCTCCCCTAGGTTGACTCAGCCTCAAATGGCCGGGCGTGGTTCTGGCCACACCAACACCCCCTCGTGTGCAGTGTTGGCACTACTCGCTAACACCACTCGCGCCACACGTCTGTCAAAGCTATAACGTGGGTGGGGTGCGCGGGGAGAGTAATCTTTGTCTTTGGCGACGCTTCCACGGATTTCTTCCGCCGCGCGTGCAGATGGGTCGCCTACGAGCAGCAGAGCTGCCGCGGGGAGATGTTCGTGCTGGAGAAGGGCGAGTTCCCACGGTGGGACTCGTGGTCCAACAGCTACCGCAGCGACCGCCTGATGTCTTTCCGACCCCTCAAAATGGTAACGTCCCCTGCTATCCCTTCCCCCGGGGGGGAATTGGGGGTTCATAAGGGGGGAGGTGATCCCATGAAGGGGGTTCAGTGGCGTAGTAGCTACATTGTCAGCTCAGGGGGTGCGGTAATTGGTCAGGCGGGGCGCCCAATGTTGTGATTTGTGTCGCAAGGTCGCACCTAGAGGCCATTGCATTTGGCGGCTCCTCTTGCCTTGATCACATCGTTACATGCGTCTTGTTGTTGTTGTTGTTGATCTTTTATAATGTTCTTGTTGTTGAAAACAATTCTTATGGCGGTTGTCAAGAGGGGCCCCAACTTGTAGCTTTGGTTACCGGGGGGGGAGGGGGATGGGGCGCAAGGCACACCCACGGTCGTATCGCGACTGGGTCTACAGATGAAACGCGTCTCACCAATGTAGATGATTATTATTGACGATGTTGTTGTTATTATTATTATAATGGCTGTGTCAAACGCCAGCCGTGCTTGAAGGCGCTGTTTCGGAAGTGCAGCGAGCTGATGCTTGTCTCTGAACGGTCACCGATGACTGCGCAAAGATGGATATTCGGTGATTTAAATGTTACGGGTTTCTTTCGTTGCAGCCTCGACAATGGACGTCAATATTTATATAAATTATATGTCTAAACATGTTTTCATTTTCACGGCTGTTCTCGCGCAGTGCTCTCTGCGAGAGTCACAAATGCACAATATCATCGGTGCACTAACTGGAATACAATTGGGTGCACAAACCTACTTGCTGTACCACCCCGCCCGCCTTTAACCGCGGTAGCCCGCCGGGGGAGGGGGGGCGGGGGCGGTAGTCTCGATGTGAACCACCAACCCTTGCCGGTTAAATGTCATCCGCTGCCACTTTACTCTCGCGCCCCGAGAGGCGAAGACCCCCACAAAACCCCTCCGCCGTGCTGCGTGACACGGCCAAGGGTACGCTGGAGGAAGGTCGGGGGGGGGGGGGATTTTTATTGGCATCCGGGTGAAGAGGGGATTAGGTGCGCGTCGAGCCGTGCGTGCACATAGAGAGTCGTCCATTGGCGCTAATCAACAACATTTGTAGCGGACAGAATTTTTTAAAAAAGAGCTTTGACAGCGAACACCTATGAAGGCCGTCACGTGCACACAAGGGGGTGGTTGGGCCAACACCACGCCCGGCCGCCTTTGTCTCCCTAGCGGCGTGTGCCGTGCCGGCCTTCATAGGGCGCTACTCGCTAACAGCACTTGCCCCAACAGTCCGTTAAGGCTATGCGGGGGATCTTTGTCTTTGTTGGGACACAGCGTAGCGGTGACAGACCCGCGCACGCGCACGCGTGGGTGTCTGCTGCTGCGCGGAGCGAGTAGAGGGATGGGTTGGGGTCAGGATCAGTAAATATGTATGTGTCTCCTCGCTACGTCCAGACAGCGTCTACATTGAAACGTGGCAATTACGTGCTAGAGTTCAAACGTTCGGTGGGCGCCAGAATATTTAAAAAAGAGTTAGATTCCCTGGACCACGAGGCGAAACAATCGAGGTTAAACAAACAATCGATGAATCAGTCGATTATTGATAGAGTGAAATTCCTCCTGGGATAGTAATCAATACGCCCCTCTTCCCCTGCCACCACCCCCCGCAATTGATTCCCTCTCCCCGTCTCGTTCTCCCCCTCTCGTTTATATTGTTTCCACCCCTCCATCTCGCTCTTACTCCATCATCATCATTCTCCTCCACCCCGACTTCCACACACCCGGACCCACCGTCACATCTGCTCCCACCATCTCTCCATCCCTCTCCTCCCCTCCTCCTCCATCATCATCCTCCTCCTCCACCACCACATCTGCTCCCACTATTCCACGACCCTCGCAGGAAAACCAAGACCACAAGATCTCGCTGTTCGAGAATCCCGACTTCACGGGCCGCAAGATGGAGATCACGGAGAATGACGTCCCCAGCCTCTGGGCCTACGGCTTCCAGGACCGCGTGGCCAGCATCAAGGTGGCCGGCGGGACGTGAGTACCTCCACCTGCAGCAAACAAAGATCCCACCGTGCGCTGTTAGCGAGCGCCTATGAAGGCCGGCACCACACACGAGGAGGGTGGAGTGGCCAGCACCACGCCCGGCCGCCTTTGTCTCTCCCCAGTGGCGATGTTTACCACACACCGCACCAGGTGCTCATTTGAGGCTGAGTCGACCTAGGTGGGGCCCAGGACCGGTTCAGATAATCGTTCCGTCCACACACACACGCGTCTGTGTGTCTATACCTTCGGAGCGTAACAACCCTTTGCAAATCCACTGCTGGATGAGGGCCTCCTCACGTCTGCTCCGCACTTAAATTCATCCCTGCACATCGCAGCATTCATTACCTGTCTGTGCAGAGATTTTCAGTTGTCTAATATCTGTTCCTCTGATCCCCTCCCCTTCCTCCTTAAATCTCTACCCCCCGCGCCTCATCTCCCTCCCTTCTCACTCCACCCTCCCATTGTCTCCCTTACTCCCTCCCCCTCCCGTCCATTGTCTTCCATCCCCCCCTTCCTCCCTTCTCTTTCATCTTCCCTCCCTCTCCCCCCACACCTCCCTCCCCACCCATTTCCCCCTCCCCGCCATTGTCGTCTTCCACCAACCCTCCCATCCCCTCCCTCTCTCGCTTCATCATCTCTCTCCCTCCCTCATCCCTCCATTCCATCTCCCGTCATCATCATCACCTCTCTCCCTCCCTCCAATCTCTCCCATCATCATCATCTCTCTCCCTCCCATCATCATCATCATCTCTCTCCCTTCCATCTCTCCCACCATCACCATCATCATCTCTCTCTCCCTCCCATCGTCATCATCATCATCTCTCTCCCTCCCACCTCTCCCACCACCATCACCATCTCTCTCCCTCCCACCTCTCCCACCATCACCACCACCATCACCACCATCTCTCTCTCGCCGGGCTCGTGGCGTCTCCAGGTGGGTGGGTTACCAGTACCCCGGTTACCGTGGCTACCAGTTCGTCTTCGAGCGCTGCGATTTCCGCCACTTCAACGAGTGGGGCGCGCAGCAGCCGCAGATCCAATCGGTGCGCCGCGTGCGCGACCAGCAGTGGCATCCCCGGAGCCGCTTCACCTTCTCCAAGTGACGGCGCCGCCGCGGGCGTGACGACCACGACGAACACGACTACGACCCCAGCTCCCCTAACACCTCGCAGACCGCCCAGACCGATCCACCCTCCACACCCCCCCCCCCCACCCCGATCTTGACCTCGTGAGTCCACGTGGAGACGTGCAAAATTGCACCCAAGTGCAATGAATCATCCAGAGCCACGTGGTTACTCTGTCCTCTCTTCTTGCATCTCTTCCTCAAGGGTGGGGGGAGTGGGGGGTGGGTGGAGGGGCTTTCTCTGCTCTTCGCGACCCTGCCACCTCTGAGATGGTTCTCCCTGAACCGTGTGGGCCCTCATACCTCAACACTTGATTTTTTTTCCAGGGCCCTCTCCGATCATCTCTAGCCTCATGGGTCCTTAACCCCCCCCGACCCCGACTATCCACAACCTTCTCTGACTGGAGGGTGGGTCTGCTGGCTGTACTATTCATTCAATAAATCAAAAACTACTTTATTCATTGAATCGCTTCGCGTCGGTGTCTTCATTCGATCGGAGCGGGGAGGGTGTGACGAGTGAGTGTGCTGTGAACGGCAAGACGGAGGTGGATGCGCGTTGCGCTACGAACCCGGCGACCCGGGTTCGACTCCCGCTAAAGCCGACGCCAATGGCCAATATCTGCACCGGTCCTGGGTCTCCCCTTAGGTAGACTCAGCCTAAAATGAGTACCTGGTGCGGTATGTAAAATCATCGCCACTCGGGAGGCAAAGGCGGCCGGGCGTGGCGCTGGCCACCCCCCCCCCCCCCCCTCGTGTGCCGTGCCTGCTACTCGCTAACAGCACTTTCCCCAACAGTCTGTTAAAGGCTATACGGGGGATTTTTGTCTGTGCGCGTGTGTGTGTGGGGAGCGGTGGTGCAGCGGTTAGCGCGCTGCGCTACGAACCCGGCGACCCGAGTTCGATTCCCGCTCACGGCCAACAACAGTGACGGTTATCAAAACCGGTCCTGTGCCTCCCCTAGGTCGACTCAGCCTCAAATGAGTAACCTGTTGCGGTGTGTAAAATCATCGCCACTAAGGAGACAAAGACGGCAGGGGCGTAGTGCTGCCACCCACGCCCTCGTGTACCATCCCGGCCTTCACAGGTGCTCGCTAACAGCACTTGCCCCAACAGTCTGTTGCAGGCTAGACGGGGGGGGATCTTTTTCTTTGCTCGCGGTGGGGGTAACAGCACGTGTGTGTGTGCCCACGGGCTGTTTTTTTCGTGCACGATTTCACCGACAGCCGCTTGCACCTTGAAGCAGTGGAGAGGCATCAACAATGCCTCTCGAATCTCACGCATCGTGAGCGCGCGCGCGTGTGAGTGTGTGTGAGTGTGTGTGCGCGCGTGTGTGAGTGTGTGGGGAGCGGTGGCGCAGCGATTAGGGCGCTGCGCTAAGAAAACCGGCCACACGAGTTCGATTCCCGCTCACGGCCAACACCGGTGACGATTGATCTGAACCGGTCCCTAGGCCTCCCCTAGGTCGACTCAGCCTCAAATGAGTACTTTGTGCAGTGTGTAAAATTGCCACTAAGGAGACAAAGGGGGCCGGGCGTGGTGTTGGCCACCCACCCCCTCGTGTGCCGTGCCGGCCTTCATCGGTGCTACTCGCTAACAGCACTAGCCCCAACAGTCTGTTCAAAGGCTATGCGGGGAATATTTGTCTTTGCGCAGCGGTCGTGTCGCGGTTAGTGCGATGCGCTACGAACACGGCCGACTCGAGTTCCTATTGCCCATTGATATTGACGTTGCAGTACGTCAACATCGCCACGAGGGAGACAAAGGCGGCCGAGCATGCGTGGAATCGGCCACCCACCCCGTCGCGTGGCCGCGCCGCCTTTCGTCGGATGCTCCTCGCTGACAGCACTTGCCCCAACAGTCTGTTCAAAGGCTATACGGGGTGGCTCTAACAAGCACAAATACACACTCAGTATATAAAACCAATCACGTCCAATTCCTCACGCCGCGTCTTCGCGCACTTAGCTCCTCGCCAGCATCATGCATCACGCGCTAATTATATCCATTAGCGGCGGCAGAAGAGCAGCAGGCAGCGACAGAGGCACGTGACCAGCCCACTGACTCACTCGACAAGGGAGAGGAGCGGCGTTCGTTCAATCAGCCGATGGTGGTGGTGGGGGGGTAGCTGCGTGGATTGCAAAGCTCCCAGAGCCACTCGTGATGAGTGAGTCTCTTGATGCCGCTGTGTTATCGGCTTCATCACTCGCGTTATTATCTCCATCATTATTATCATGTTGTTCACTCCCTCGCTCTCTATCTTTCTCTCTTTCTCTCTCTCCCTCTCTGCCATCTCTCGAGATTAATATTGCGATCAATTTACGGGCTCCGAGCGCACACGTGGTCACGCGCTTGCAAGCGTGTAATTGTATAATTGCCGTGTTAGCAATTAGGGCTCTGAACCCTCCCCTCCGCCCCGTCCCCTCTTCCACCGCCGCTACCCACCGCACGTCAAAAAGACAAAGATCCCCCGTATAGCCTGAACAGACTGTTGGGGCAAGTGCTGTTAGCGAGCACCGATGAAGGCCGGCACGGCACACGAGGGGGTGGGTAGCCAACACCACGCCCGGCCACCTTTGTCTCCCCAGCGGCGATGTTCACACACCGCACCATGTACTCATTTGAGGCTGAGTCGACCTAGGGGAGGCCCAGGACCGGTCCAGATATTCGCCACTGATGTTGGCCGTGCGGCGGGACTTGAACTCGAGACGTCGGGTTCGCAGACGCGATGCGCTAACCACTGCACCACCGCTTCCCCGCATCAACAACAACAACAACAAAAACAGCCGCCGTTCTTCGCCACTGAGTGGTGCTCGTGCCAGGCTAGGTGCACTTTGAGGCCATCGCATGAAGTGTGGAAGGCCCTCTGACAGGAGGCCACAGGACCGACCCACCCAGGCGTGATGGGTTGACCGACCGAGATGAGTGGCAGATGCACCCCCTGTGCTCCCCACGATGCCCAACCCAACCTGCACTCACGCACCCAACGCAGCTGAGGTTTTTGTTGTCGTGATGGCAATGGACCACTCGGAAGTACAAATGACACGAAACGTCTAGAAAATCTACACCCTCGGTCACTCGCTCGCACGCACAGAGGATGGCGTGGTTTATCAAACGATGATATTTTCGCCTGACTCCCAACACGTCGTTTAAATAAAGGTTGATCCGAAAATTGGAATCACTCACCGCCGCTGCTGTGTTTGGTAATTTCGCTGGTAATTGAGTGGTCGGGCGGGCATGCGGGCATGTGTGCATGTGACCAGGGTTGGATTTCCAGCTCACGGCCAACATCAGTGAGTGACTCTACCCTGGTACGGGCTGTAAACATCACCGCCGGGGAGACAAATGCCGCCGGTGGTGCTAGCCACCCACGCCCCTCGTGCGCCCTTCCGACCTCTATGTATGTATGTGTGTTGGACTTCTTTCGCGCCGTACGTGGCCAACCGTGCTCATCGGAGGTGCCACTCGCTGACAGCACTTGCCGGCAAGGCCGTCGAGGCTATACAGGAGGTCTTTGTCTTTGGCTGGGGTGTGATGGTGGTGGAGGGTGGATGTGGGTGGTGTGTGGTTGTGTGTGGTGGTGTGTGGTGGAGAGTGGTGGAAGGTGGTTGTGTGTGGTGGAGGGTGGTTGTGGGTGGTTGTGTGTGGTGGAGGGTGGTTGTGGGTGGTTGTGTGTGGTTGTGTGTGGTTGTGTGTGGTGGAGAGTGGTGGAGGGTGGTTGTTGGTGGTTGTGGGTGGTGGTGTACAGCGTGCCCACAAAGTCTCTGCATAATGGGGCCTCCGGCCCATTGTGCCCTCGCAAATTGGGATTTGTTTTCGCAATCAGCAATGAGGCGGACGATGCGACAATATGATGATGTGGCCCATCCGATGTCCAGACCTGACGACAACAAAAATAACGTTGTCAAAATAATTTCCATTTTTAAAGCACCGACAATACTTCGCACTTAAGATTGACAGGTCGATGAACTCGAGACAGCTGCGGGGAACTACTTTCGCAGTACGCAGCCGCATCACCCACTTGGAGGGAACGACTCCGCGTGGACGAAGTGAGCGCACGACTGCAGCCGGGGCGCGTCAAGCACGGAGGGCAGCACACGCGGAGTTGTTCGTCTCGAGTTGCGTTGTTTTTTTATTTTCACGCAAAGGGACTTCATTGCCTCTCTGGAGGCTGTGGTGCGGGCGGGGTGCTGGCGAGGGAGCTCGGCGATGATTTAGAGCGCGTGCGTGAACAGGGACCGCGTGCTTCTGTCAATCCAGTGAGGAACCCTCCTCCCTCCTCGCTCGCCCCCCTCCTCCCTCGCTCCCTCGCACCCTCCCTTGCTCCCCCCCCTCCCACCCTCCCTTGCTCTCCCCCTCCCTCGCCTCCCCCTCCCTCGTCCCCCCCTCCCTCGCTCCCCCCTCCCTCACCCCCCCCTCCCTCGCCTCTCCATCCCTCGCTCCCCCCTCCCTCGCCCCTCCCCCTAACTTCACTCCCCCCCCCCCTCTCTCTCTTGCCCCCCTTCCCTCTCTCGCCCCTTTCCTCCGGCTTGCCTCACCCCTGCTCAATTCTTACAACCACGCCTCCCACCTCCTCCCCCACCTCCTCCCGCACCTCCTCCCACCACCTCCTCCCCCACCTCCCCCACCCCTCCTCACTCGCACTCCTCTCCCATCGTGGCGCTCCCTCGCCCCACCCCCAAGCCCCTCGCGATCGCCAGGGCCGACCAGAGGTCCCTGGAGGCGCGGGGTTCAATGCCACGTGGCGACCCTCCCCCCACACACCTAATTTATTCATTTGCAATAAATACAACAAAACACACAAAGAGCCCATGGTGGGGCCCTCTTGTTGTCAGAGGCCCGGAGATAATTACCTCGATCCCCCTTCCCCACCTCTCAGCCCCCTCCTGGGCCGCCCTGGCTACAGCAATCCCTCCCTCCTCGATCCCTCCATCAATCCTCACTTCTCTCCTCACCCCCCTGTCTCCTTCCTTTTCTTATTCCCTCCCTCCTAAATCCCTCTGTCCTCGCCTTCTCTTATCCCCACCCCTCCATCTCTCCCTTACCCCCCCCTCTCTCCTCCCCTTCTGTTTTCCCCTTCTCTTATCCCTGCCTCTCTCTCCCCTCCCTCCCCATCTCTCCCTCCCTGTCCCTCCTTTCCTTCTCGTATCCCTCCCTCTCTCCCCACCTCCCCCATCCTTCACCCCGTCTCTCCCTCCCTCGAGACCCAACACTCCGAACCCAACCCGTGACCGTGTGTCCTGGGACAACTTTATCTTCAGGAGTTGCTCTCTTTTCTCTCTCCCCTCCACCCCCCACCAACTCTCTCATCTTTCTCTCTCACTCGCTCCCACACTTTTCGAATAAATCTTTCTCACGTTTTCGCAGCAACAACAACAACAACAAAAGAACGAGACGCAGAAGCTAGAAGGTGGTGGCCTCGTCAATTTCACGGCTGCGATAGCGACGGCGGCTGGGAGGGGGGGGCTCTGA